CTTCCTTTCCTGGAGTCTCTCTCTGGGGTCAATTACCTCTGGAGGATGGATGAGAAACACTGACAATTAAAACTGCCACTGAGATGGGGAGGGTGTTTATAGTCCAGTGGGGCTCCTAGCCACAGGGGAAATTAGGGAGCACCTGCACGGTCTAGATAATGAACAATTACAAAGAAAGACAGGCACTGAGGACCTGCTCCCTGTGGGAGGATGCTAAGGCCTTATGTGCTTAGAAACTTGAACCTTAAAGAGGAGTTCTCTGCACTGAAACAAAAATGCAGATGAATTTAATTTCCCAGGAGGCTCAGTGGTTAAGTTGTCATTATAGAAACTCTGTGTGTGACTATGTGGCTTAGGGTAAGGCAGGGCACCATCTAATTAGTGGACTGACCATATGGTAGGAAACCCACTTTCAGAAAGCCAACAATAAAAACAGAAACACAATCCAAGGGGAGCTGCTGATTAATAAATGGCCCCTTTTTGTCAGGTGTCACAACTTTTAAGTCTTAAATGTGGCTTCATAGTTATGTAAAGTCATAAATGACCCAAAACGGTTTCCAAGTAGCCTTGCTGTTTCAGAAGGAGCCCAAGTCAAGAACAATGAGAACTAGCTCCCTTCATGGAACATTCTCATCATCCTATAGACATTTTTATTTTGTATCTAACTGATGTCTCTTCTTGAAATGTGTCTGCATTGTGTTGTTCTACTCTCAGGCAATGCCCACATAATCATTCATGGGCAGTATTCACTTGCTGACTGTTCTACTCAACTAACTCTCCAATTTCTGTGGCTATCCGTACAATATAAATTTACCATGACACATTTTAATAAGATTTAGATTAAGTCTCCCTGGAAAGTGCTGCTTAACTAGAGTGTAATCTAGAAATAAAATACCGAAGGATATGTGAAAAGTATTGAGCACGCTTCAGCGAACAAGCGAATTACTACAAAGCGCTTTGCTAGTGGAGTCTGTAAGTGCCACGGCCTCCAGGTCTACTGCCAAATACAGCATAACATGCTGATCCTGAGAAAGTAAAGAGATTCAACAGCAGAAGAAGAACTGAGTCTCAGCCAAAAGGCAGTTGTGTTGTTGGAGAAAGAACATGGAACTTGGAGAAATGAGATCTGAGTTTAAATCCCAACTCTTGGACTTTCTAGTTGCAATAAACAACTTGGGGCCAAAATATCACCTTCGGCGGCATTTGACAAAGGCCAGTGTAACAAGATGTAAGGTATCAAGACATAAGAGATATAAATTTTCCAATCAAGCTGTAAGACATCCCCCAAAATAGACAGCCAGGAACTGTTTGTACAATCCTTGAACTCCTCACCTACACTGAGGATATAAAATGAGTAAGAAGAAAAGGAACTGAGAGGGATTTCTTTGGAGAAAACTGTGTTATGTGATGGGGAAGTTGCCCCATCACACTACCAGGAGGGATGGAGTATGGTTCCTGCTTTACCTCAGGTCAAGAGATGGGCTTCAATGGGGACCACTCAAGGAGCTGGGTATGTACCCCCTATTAGTGGGATACAGTTGATGGTATCTGATTCATCCCTGGAAAAAGTCTGTAGGTGAGAATCTGGCTGCAATGGCCTCTGGCAGCAGAATAGAGAGATGCAGCTGAAAATTAACTACAATCCCACTGACTGAGACAGAAGGTATAAATTTTCCACGGTCCACATATGGACATGAGAGAGAAAGAGATGGCCTGGAAGTATTTTAATTATTTCTAAGAGATCAGCTGGAGGGAAAAATGAGAACACTCCCCCCGCCCCAAAAAAAAAACAATCTCTACAGAGTGGATTGTCAAAAAAGCATGCCAAGGGAAGAACAGCCAGCCAAGACACAAACAGAACACTTAAGAGTTCACAGTGGTGCCTGAACCAAATATACAAAAGCATCCAAGAAAAAAAAGTTAGAGTTCAACATCTGCCAGGCCCAGGGAGCACAAAGCCAACTTATGAAAGTGCTAGACAAGTTAGGACTTTCTTGCCCTCCATTCTCCTCTCCTTCCTCCTCCATGCTTCCATTCTGGAGGGGTCAGAAATCAAGATTAGCAATAGGGGTGAGGGGATGGATGCCAAAGGCAGGCAAAAAGAAAGGAAAGGCCATGCTCTCCTTCCCTGGCCTCCTACAGCTTGAAGGCCCCATTAGGGGAGAAGAACTAGCTATCACTTTAAACAATAAGCTTTAGCTATTACATAGACTGAATAATCTAAAGACTTATTTTTTATGCTTGTTAACTTAAATTGATTTCTATTTAAAACTTATTATTGAGAGTAATCAGAAAAGACATGAGACTACCTAAGTTTTTATTTAGGAGAAAGGAGAAAACTTACCCACTGAGTTAATTTTAAAAGACAGGAAAAGACAAAATAAAGAAGCTTTTTGATTCTATGCATGAGTTATATTTATTCAAAAGAAACATAAAAGGAAGGAGTCAGAAAAAATAAAGCCAATGCAGTAAACAGAAGAAAAAAATTGCAAAGAGGGAAAAACAGGTCACAAAGGAAGCATCAGGAATAAGAACAAAACCAAACTTTTCAACCACGGAAGCTAGAAGCAATGTCTTTAGGTTTGTGAAGAAAAATAGTTTCTATCTAGAATTCTATGGTCAGACAACTTAATCAAGGGTGATAATAGGATAAATATTTTTTCAGATGTTCAAGTTCTCAAAAAATTTACCTCCTATTCATTTTTTTTTTCAGGAAGCTACTGGAGGATGCATTCCACCAAAATGTAGACGATAACATGTATTAAAAGACATAGGATCCAGGAAACAAGGGATCTAAACAGGAGAAGAGTGAAAGGAATTCCCAGAGTAATAGCCCAGAAAAGTTGCTTCTCAGCAGACCTGAAGAACGTTCGAACAAGAAGTCTCCAGGAGGAATGTTTCCCCCCAAAAGAAGTAGAACTGGCATATTACAAGATGTGGTTGACCATTTTGTGAAGGATTTCACAATTCTGTCAAATAAATTAGTGATAAGTACAATGAAAACTAAGTTAATGAAAAAGGGATTCAAATATTAACTCCAGAAAAAACCAAACTTATACAAAATGACCATTGTGATAATAATAATATTAATCATTATTATAAGGTCTCTGAGTGGCGCAATCGATTTGTACTGACTTCTAACCTAAAGGTTGGTGGTTTGGATCCACCCTACTGCACCATGGAAGAAAGAAGTGGCAATCTGCTTCCATAAAGACTACAGCCAAAAAAATCCTATGGAGTAGTTCTACTCTGTAACACATGGGGTCATCATGAGTCAGAATCAACTTGACAATGATAGGTTATGCCTCTGTGTGTCAGGCACTGTTTTAAATACTACACTGGTACTGTCTCTTAAGATCCCTATAATGATCCATAATGTCTCTTATACTTGTTATGCTTACAGATGAGGAAAGTGAGGCACAATGAGGTTAATGGCTTGAACAACACCATACAGGTAATAAATGTCACAGCCCAGATATGAACCAGGCTGTCTCATCCAAAAGCCATGCTCATTGTAATCATGGTTTGCTACATGGCTCAACTGTGAGTAATACGTACATGACTGTCAACAACATATGCACACTGAATACTAATTCAGCCTGAAATTCTGACATAATTACCTATTGAAAGAATGGAGAATGGTGAAGGGGGATATGCTCGAGGTGAGATGGAGCAATAATAACATTTCTAAATCCTCATCTTACTTAGTAGAAAGTCAATATACAGGGTTACAAGTGAAAAAAAAATCAATCTATAGTAATATAAATGTATTATTTAAAACACAAGTAAATAACAAAAAGTAACAGAAGGATCAGCTAAAAGAATTTTGAGAGGAAAACTGGATCTAGGGGTAGGGAAGGGAAAAGCAGGAGTCTGCTCTTTTTCCTTAAAGCTTTGAAACAGTATTTGAGTTTTGTAGTATTTCTTTTTTTTTACTTTAGATGAAGGTTTACAGAGCAAATTAGTTTCTCATTGAAGAATTAATACACATATTGTTTTGTGACATTGGTTGCCAACCCCAAAACATCTGAACACTCTCCCCCTCTTGACCTTGGATTCCTCATTACGAGCTTTCCTGTCCCCTCCTTCCTTCTGGTCCTTGCCCCTGGGCTGGTGTGCCCACTTAGTCTCATTTTGTTTTATGGGTGTGTTTAATCTTTGGCTGAAGGGTGAACCTCAGGAGTGACTTCAGTACTTAAAAGGGTGTCCAGGGGCCATACTCTCAAGGTTTCTCCAGTCTCTGTCAGACCAGTAAGTCTAGTCTTTTTTTGTGAGTTAGAAATTTGTTCTACATTTTTCTCCAGCTCTGTCTGGGACTGTCTATTGTGATCCCTGTCAGAGCAGTTGGTGATGGTAGTTAGGCACCATCTAGTTGTGCTGGATTCAGTCTGGTGGAGGCTATGGTACTTATGGTCCATTAGTCCTTTGGACTTGCCCTTGTGACTTTGGTTTTCTTCATTCTCCCTTGCTCCAGATGGGGTGGGACCAGTGGATATCTTAGATGACTACTCTCAAGCTACTCACCAAAGTAGGATGTAGAACATTTTATTTATAAACTACGTTATGCCAATTGAAGTAGATATCCCCCAAGACCACGGTCCCCAGCCTTCTGCCCAGTAATTCAATCCCTCAGGGAGTCTTGATGTGTCTATGAAGCTTCCATAGCCTTGCCTTGGTCAAGTTGCTGACTTCCCTAGAATTGTGTACTGTCTTACCCTTCACCAAAGTTACCACTTATCTATTGCCTATTTAGTGTTTTTTCCCTCCCCACCCCTCCTCTCCCTGTACTATTTCTCTTATTAAAAGATTCCAATTTAAACAAAAATTATGAAGTTGGGAGGAATGTGGGAGAGAGGGCATCTAGTACTAAAATGGGCACTTGGATGGCAGTATAGGAACCAGGACCACCACACAGATGGGGCGGCAGACTATAAGGAGAAGCTCTACCAATCTTCTCATCGGCAACCCCTGGGCTTTGGGATACAGCACCCTGGTCGTACCTTCTGCACCAAACACCTCTCCACAGTGAGAGCAGAAGAAGTGCTCTGGGTGCCAGGTCTGGTCCATTGCCGTCAGCACTTTCTGGAAAAGGAGCACATAGAGAGATATCAGAATGCTGCAGAGCTAAAGCATGACCCCCGTTCTGAATGAGTGATTCAAAGCTGCATGAAAGCAGGCTGGGGAGGGAGACTTTACTTACATCCAGGATGGGAGCAGCACAGTAGGCACAGCGCGGAGAAAAAAGCTGGTGGTAGTCCTTGGGGCAGTAAGCCAAGCCACCTCGCTCAAAGAAGGGACTGGAGCCGAGCTCTCCTTTGCAGTGAGTGCAGACGAAGTGCTCTGGGTGCCACGCTTGCCCTAGAGCATGGATCATCTGAGGGGTGAAATAAAGCCAGGCATGGGAGCATGGTCAGGTGCTCTAGGACCTACAGGCTACACAACTCCAGAGGGCACTATTCACACTGTATTCCATGTAAATGACACTCCCTGGAACTATGCAACGCTGAGGTCGACACCTGGGTTCTTTCTGAGACAGTCTGTTGTCTGTGCTTTATGGATGGCAAAAGGGTGCCCACTTCCCTGACTGATCATGCTGATAAAAAACCCATGAATGTTGGTCACCAGTCTATCTTCCCAGAGGGTGCTAGAAACAACACAGAGCCCAGTGGTGATAGACAAAGTGACAACTGCAGCTCTGGCATTGAAGGAACCCCTGGAAGAGGAAAGGGCCCAATGACAGTTTTTATATTTCTGGTCTGAATATCTCATCTCAAGCCCCACGCAGAGTCAAGACTCAAGACCCTTTATCATGGCTTTGTTGAAGGATGATGCAGAGCAAAATTCTGTGGCTATAATTTGTAACTGAGTTCATGTAAAATGTGTAATCAATCCATTTAGACAGGGAATGTTTGAACAGAAGGAACAATAAGAAAGTTCTTCTCAATAAAGGCAGTACAGAAAAATGTTTATGAGCTCAAACTCGGTAGACAGACTCTTTGGGTTCAGATCTCACCTCTAACTCTTACTAGACCTTAGGCAAGTCAGTTGTGGTCTCTGAGCCCTCAGTTTCCTTACCTTTACAAAGGGAACAATAATAGTCTCCTCTGAAGTGCTGAAGTGACCATTCAGTGAGGGAATGCTTGTAAAGCAGTAGCTTCTGCCTACAGCACTATCAGTAATTAGTAATTACCAACTATTACTAAAATGGTGATCTGTTTCCCTTAAGATTACAGCCAAGAAAACTCTACGGAGCAGTTCTACTCTGCATACATGGGGTTGCTGTGAGTTGGAACAGACTCAATGGCAACCAACAATAACTAAAATGTCTTAGAATTTGAGGAGAAAGAGCAAACCTTGGTAGGATAGAAATAGACATACACACAGATGCAGATGGCTGTAGGACCATCTTGGGTGCCTCACCTTTCCAGCAATCGGTTTCTGGCAGGAAGCACAGTGGCCCTTGGGCACTGTGGCAATCCCAAGGTCCTGCAAGTCCTGCTCCAAATCCCCCAGCATGGAGTCCAGGGAGGCATTGTGATCCTGCTTGTCTGGTAAGTGTTTCTTGCCCACATCTGTTTTCACTGCAACCTGATATCGGGGAAAGAACCAGGAAGAGGATCAGCCTCTTTATCTTTACTACCTTTATCTTCACTGGCATCTTCGACATGACCTGATAAGCTTATCAGCTCACCTCCACTGATTAATCACTTAGTCTTTCCGTTACCTCCTCCAGGGCACTGGAAGAATCCAATATTTTAACTCCAATAAAAATGCTTTCATCCCCCTTTCATTCTAAGCTCCTGGGGTTGAATAAAATCTGATTGGTTTTCCTCCATTTGTAAATCTTTTCTGACTGTAGAAAATTGAGTGTATGAAGATGATACCTTTTTGGCTCTTATGACCAACAACTAGTCATAACATCCTTTTATTCATTTATTCTGCAATATTTATTGAGCACCTATTGTTGGGTGCTATCAAGCTGGCTCTGACTCATAGCGACCTTATTTATAACGTTCTCTGGTCCTGTGCCATCTTCATGATCATTGTTATGTTTGAGTCAATTGTTTTGGCTATCGTGACGATCTATCTTATTGAGGGTTTCCCTCGTTTTTGCTTACATGATGTCCTTTTCTATATAATTTCTAGTAATTCAGCTGTCCTGATGACACGTACAAAGTAAGTAAGCCAAAATCTCTCCATCCTTGCTTCTAAGGAGCCATTCTGGTGCTATTTCTTCTAAGACTGATATTGAGTACCTAGTTTGTTTCAATCACTGCTGTAAGGGCTTCATATAGAGCAGTGCACAAGAAAGACGGGTATCTACCTACCCTCACAGAATTCACATTCTATGGAGTGACAGTAAATAATTAAACAAATAAACATAAGATTTAATGTCAGGAAGAGATAGGTTATAAGTTGTATATGGAGATGTGACAGAGGGTGGGATGGTGAGGACGTATCAACTTAGATGGGGATGATAAGAGAAAGTTTCTCCAAAGAGGTAATATTTGAGCAGATATTTGAGTGATACACTTAAGGATCCAGAAATATTGACTGATATTTACAGGAAAAGCACTCCGGGGGGAGGGAAGGCCTTGAGGAAGGAAACAATTAGGCACATTGGAAGAAAAGTATAAAGGTCAGTAGAGTGAGAGCAGAGAGAGTGAGATGGCGTGCGGCAGGAGAAGATGATGGACGGAGAGGCAGAGTTCACGTGGGTCATTGTGGTAAAAGCTTGGGTTTTATTCCAAGTGTAATGAGCATTTCAACCATAAGGGTGAATGAATCTTATTTATAAGATCCTTGTGGTAGCTAAGTAGAGAATTAAGTGTACACAAGCAAGAGTGAAAGCAGAGAGACTAGGAGGGAGGCTATTATAACATTTCAGACCAGAAATGATGACTTGGGCCAGTGTTAAGGAAGAAGGTGATGAGAGGTGGTCAGATAAAATTTGCTGATGGATTGGATTTATTTAAGCCAAACTCCAAAATAGTTACTACACAGCATTCAAAGGAAAAGTCTCAAATTACAAAAAAGATGTCTAGCTTATCCTTCATCGCCTCATGTCCTAATTCTGGCTCTCTCCATTCCTTTCCAACCGGGCTACTGCTACCATCTGCCTAATAAATACTTCACTTCAAATATGCACTCATCAGCAGAGCATTCAAAGTCTCCCATCCACTGCCCTCACTTTACCTTTCCAATCTCATCTTTTATCACTCACTAAAAAGCCTCAGTTATTTAAGCCCAGCCAGGCTCCCTACAGTCTCCTGAGCGCAATCTGTTACTGTCTGCTTTCAGGCCTCTCCTTACCCTAATTTTACTGTCTGGAATAACCTCATGTTACCTCATTAATCCAAAACGCTCACTTCCCTTCAAGGAACTGTCATCATCTGACAGAATCCCTTCGTCCTCTCTTATATAATGTTAGTTAACATTCAAGAGGTTAATGTTCAAAAGGCTAATACCTAAAAGGCCTGACCTGTTACTCATTGCCGTCAAGTTGATTCCAACTCATAGGGACCTTCTAGGACAGAGTAGAACTACCCCATAGGGTTTCCAAGGAGTGGCTGGTAGATTTGAACTGCCGACCCTTTGGTTAGCAGCCTAGCTCTTAATCACTGCGTCACCAGGGCTCCTGATAGGATGACCAGTATTAAGTATGAAAAATAAACTAAGTAAAAACACAAAAAATATACCTATAACTATGGCTATAGTATATATACATCTTTATCTACATCTATATCTTTATCTATTTGCTTATATATTCCAGAATACTTCTAGGCAGGTATGTAAGAAACAAGTAACATGGACTACCTCTCCGGGGTGGGGGAGAGGGAGGAGAAAGAGGCTGGATGGCTGGGACAGAGATGATAGGAGCTCTGGTGGTGCAATGGTTAAGCGCTGGGCTGATAACTGTAAGGTCTGCGGTTCAAACCCACCCAGCAGCCTCATGAGAGAAAAAATCTGGAGATTTGTTCCCGTAAAGATTACAGCTTTGGAAACCCTATGGGGCAGTTCTACCCTGTCCTGCAGGGTCGCTATGAGTCAGAATTGACTCAATGGCACGCAACAACATACTTTTTATACTTTTGATTTTTGTACAATGTGAATGTATGGCCTTTTCAAAAAATAAACAGATATTTTTAATTAAAATTTTAAATAAACCAAGACAGATGCTAAATCAATTTGAAACCACAATACGATCAAAACTTCTAATGTCGTTTTATTTCTATTATTTTCAGATACACTGCACACTTAGCCAGTCCCAGCTTATTATAGACATTAGCCCATCAAAGAACATGCGTCACTAATGACAACTTGTTTGTGATGTTTATTCATCTGTCCCTTTAACAGAGATGTATTACTACGTGCCAGGCTCTGTGCTGGACACTGGGAGTCCAAGGATGAGCCACAAAGATAAGATCCCTGCCCTCCCCAATCACCCATATTTTTATACACTGCCTTGAAGTTATTTCATAGTCACTTCACGTGTGTATATCAAATCTTCCAACTAGATTTAGAACTTCTTTAGTTTAAGAACTCTAGGCTACAGTTCCCTTAATAAATCCATAAGCCAACTTCTCTGATTTACATTCCCTGCCAGGCCATATGAGCTTGCCACTCATGCTTTTGAGGCTAGAACAAGGAAGCAGGCTTTATCTAAATATGGGGCTTAGGACTCCTCATCCTTTCAGAGACACTTGACCTCCCGTTGCTCTGTCTCAGCTTGCCCACTGGTGGCCTCTGGCCTGCTCAGGCAGGTCTCTTTAATAGCTCTTCCACATTTCACCTGGCCTATGTTGCCTATGCTTTCAGGGCTCACTCCAACTAAAAGAGCTTCCCCTTCCATCTCTTTACATCCATACCCTACCCGTCCTTCAGGGTCTATCCCAAGTACCATCCTACCTCTCTGATAAAATCTCCATGGCCTCTCTACATCCCGAACATTGGCTCCACATATTTTAGCAAACTGCTTGTCTTTTATTCTATAAATGTTGCAGAAATATATGCCTCATTTTACCAAGCATGCTCCAAGCTCCTTGAGATTAGGGCCTATCATACTTAACCAATTGTGTCTAGATAATACACAGCACAAAGTTAAGCTCATCCACTGTATTATATTTAGTCTGGAAAAATGAATGGCAACATAGAAGAGTACCTAAAAGGGCAATGCAGAGCTGAATTCCATAAACATAAGCCAATGTTGTTCTGAGCCTTGGAGGCTTTATCACAGAGACTGTACTCACCTTGGCCTGAATTTCACACAGGTGGGCCATGAGCTCATCCAACTGAGCGGCTGCTGAGGTTTTAGGAAGTGGTGATTTCTTTGGCTCTTGGAGCTTACTACAGGCAAAACCAAAAAATCATAGTAACACATCAAAATTCAAATGTCAAGTCACATATAAAATACCAAAAAATGCTTTTACCTCCTTGAATATTGAGTCTAAAACCAGAGACAGAGGGTATTTTAAAAATGGGTACCAGACTAAAAATCTGAACAACATCTGTCTGTCTTTTGTCTCCATTTCTTTCTCTGACCATGTCAAAAACTGACATTGTTCTCATGTGCATAAAGGAAAGGGAATGCCGTACAACTGATAGGCCATTCTCCCCCAACAACTAGGTACAAAGAGGCCCCTGAACAGAGCTGTAAGACCATGGCCCTGTATTTTTCATTTGAATAGCATGTTTTTAGTTATTATTATAAAGGATTATGTCTTCTCTCAGTTACAGTCAGACCAAAGACCAAAGATAAGAATACAGAATAGGCATCAGCAACCTAAGGATCCTGGGTCAAATTTGGCCATGCCCATTCATTTGAATGTTATCGACAGCTGCTTCCTTCAGAGTCGAGTAGTTGCAACACAGACCCATTGGCCCACAAAGCCTAAAATATCTACTATCTGCCCCTTTTCAGAAAAATTTTGCAGACCCCTAATATATATTTGGAAACCTCGGTGGCATAGTGGTTAAGAAATACGGTTGCCAACCAAAAGATCTGCAGTTCGAATTCACCAGGCGCTCCTTGGAAACCCTATGGGGCAGTTCTACTCTGTCCTATAGGGTTGCTATGAGTCAGAATCAACTTGACAGCAACGAGTTAATATAGATTTAGATAATGTACATGATGTTGCTTTTATATCATATAATTGTGAATAAATTATTGATAAATAAAACTTTGGATCCAAAAAAGAGAATACAGCTTGTATTCAAATACCTGTGCAATCAATAGAAAAATACATCATGTTTGAGGACACAAAATAAATCTTAATAAATTCTAAGAACTAAATCATACAAGTAATATTCTTTGCTAGCAGTGAATAAAAGTGCAAATCAACCATAAAAAAAAAAAAAACTAACCACTTAAGAAAAAATAAAGCCCTTCTACTTGGAAACATGGCACTCTAGGCAGAAGCACCACGCTGTCCCTCCACAGCAAAGATCCGAAAAACTAAGCCAAACAGAGAAAACAGCAATCCTGAAACCCTAAAACATCAAATGAAGCAATAAAGAACTCAGCCAAGTACCAAATGAAGTGAGAAACTGACAGAGAACGGAGAGCAAGGAGAGATTCATGCAGAGGTCCCCTATCAGCTAACAAAGTGTGGATCTACCATCTTGGACTCCTATCAGAGACCAGCAAATAGAGGGTACGAGAAAGCAGCTTCACAGAGCTTCCAGCAGGAGATAGAGCAACCTGTAACTGGTGATATACGCTTTCCCACCCCCACCCCTCACCCTTCTTCACCCCACCTCGGCCTCCTCTGCTTCCTGTGGCCACAGTCTATTGGCCTGAAAGCACTGGCTGCTTGGATTCCACCCACCCTCACTGGCTGACTCCCTGACTGCCATTTGTTGGCTGCTGGTGTTCCTTTTTCCGTTTCTCTTGATTTCTTCCTTACCTCTCACCACCTCCCCCTCCTTTCACTCAAATACCTGGCTCCGGACGCCATTTTTGCTTCTTCCTAAGAGGCTGCAGAGCTCTGTTCAAGTGCGGAACTGCTTCCCAGTCTGTGCTGCCACGCTGATGGGATCCCAGGGCTTTTTGTTTGTTTGTTTGTTTTGAATTACTTGTTTCTTTTCTTTTTCTTTTCTCGACTTGGGAGCCCGTTCTGGCCAGGCAGTGCTACGCGGCTTGAGACCTACCCCCCTCAGCTTACGCAGACGCACAGAGGGATCCCTGAGGGCATTTCTTTTTTTGTGTTTTTTTTTTTTTTTTCCTGTTTTTTTTGGCCGGATTTTCTTGTTCTTTTTTTTTTTTCCAATTTGTTTTGTTTTCTTTTCCCTCTTTTTCCTTTTTTGTCTTTCTTCATTACTCAGTTTCTCATCTCTCTATACCTTCCTTCTCTTCCTGTCCCCTGAATACCTGGTGTTGAATACCTCTACACCTTCTAGCCAGGCTACACCTGGGAAAAACTTCCCCAGACCTCGTAGCCACACTGGTGGGATCCCTGGGAGCTTTGCTGTTCTTTCTTCTTTCTAATTTTTATTTATTCATTTTTTTCTTTTTTTTCTTCTTCTTCCCCTTTTTGTTTTTTTCCATTTCATAGTCTCTCATCTCTCCACTCCAACGGCAAGCTCCCCTAGCACTCTTTTTTGTTTGTTTGTATGTTTTTGGCTCCTGTTCCTCTCTCCCCTCTCCCACACCCATCTTAGCTCCACACATCACAGTCTCCCCCCTCCATCCTGCCTACCTGCACCATGCACTTAACATCACACCACCAAGCAGCACAGGCACAGGCTACCAGAACCTGATTACCAACCTGCCCTGGTGGCTGTAGTAAGTGCCACAAACAACCCATCCCAAAAACTCCTCTTCAGCTAGACCTCCCCTGCTGTATCATATCTGAGCAACTGACCCTGCCAATTGGAGAAGGAGGAGAAAAGTATCTTGCCAACAGATGAGCAAACAACAAAGAACACACAGCCTGCCTGCTCAGACATTGGCAAATTTAATTTAAAAAAGGATGAAACAAACAAATCTACAATCAATAAATGAGAAAAATAACTACTGAATGCCCTGAAGACAGCAGACGATATCAAAACATTTACAAAAACAGGACAGGATGGTTACAGTAGGTGTCCAAAATAAAACACCAGATGACTCTCCAGTGGAAGAAAAGGCACTAGAACTACCTGATAGGGAATTCAAATCTCTAATACTCAGAATTATCCAAGAGTTGAAGCAAAAATCAGACAAAAA